ATTTTAAAATCTAAAGTATTATCCATTCATGGTCTGGATATAGTGAAATAAAATCTGTATATACAGATTTTGAATAATTATTAACTTTTGAAGCTGAATAATCTTCATAAATATCTCGATTATCATATTTAATAGCTGGCACTTCATTTATCCACTCATTATTATCATCATTTGTAGATTCCAAAATTTTATTTGACTATTCTTCATTATTATTATTAGTATTAGAAATATCACTGCTACTTGACTTCTAGTTATCAGAATTATCAGAATTATTAAAATCTTCAGAATCTTCAGAATCATCCAAATATTCAATCTCTACCTTGTATTTTTTTTTAAATTTATCTTGTTGAATTGATTAGACTGAATTCTTTGTATGCTGCTTTTTTGAAGGTAGAGATTGATTAGTACAACTAGTTAAAGATTCATTATAACTAATTAAAGGTTCAATGCAATTAGTTAAAGATTCAATACAATTAGTTGAACATTCGGTATAATTAGCTGAACATTCAATATGACTAGTTGAAGATTCAATATAACTAGTTGAAGATTTAATCTGACTTGTTGAAGATTCGATATGACTAGTTGAAGATTCGATATAACTAGTTGAAGATTTAGCATAGCTATTACTAATTTGCTTAACAAAATTTATTTGTTTTAAAAAATATTATGCAATTGTTTAGTACAAAGATCAACCTTTTTACTATTACATTCATCGCAATAACAATTAACAGAAGATCGAATTGTTTTTTTTAGTATTAAATTTATAGATCGAGTTAAAGATGGTTTATTATTTGAAGTTGATAAAAAATCTTTAATACTTCGATTTCTACTCATTGTAAAAGAGCAAAATATAAATAATAATTTGGGATATCAAACACTATATAAATATTAAAAAGCAAAATTAAAAGTTTGTAAAATTTTTCGAAAAACACAAAGTGAATAATTGTAAAATATTTATTTAATTTTTATTTTTTTGTAATTTATTAGACCTTATAAAAATTAATAATATAATAAAATAATAAATTTTATTTTCTTATATTTTAAACATAATACAAAAAAATACTATAAAAAATATAATTTTTAAAATAGCATATTAAATATCGTTATTTCGAAAATTATACATATGGGCTAATTTAGGACATGCATAAAGTCTAGACATAGTATCCCAAAAATTTTTGTGATATTATATTATCTACTAAATAATGATAAGTCTTTAATTTTACAATATAATTAAAATGGGTAGAGATAAATTTGACATTTACAATATACGTATGTATGTATATACGTACATATGTATCTATAATAATGATATCAAATGATCTGATTCTATAGGGTTAGGACTAATGAGTTTTGGCTAGGACTAATAGGTTTGACGCATTATCCTACATGATCTATTATATCTTTGAGTTTTTTAGAGTTTTATTTGAATTACTTGGGGTATTTATTAAGCAATTGTTCCATATAGCAGACCAATTAAAAATGATTAATTGTGGGGTTCAAAAAAACTTTAGTACCTCTGTCTAGGGTTGTTAAAAAGCTTGTTGGACCTGGTTTTTGAGTCGACTTCACACAAACTTTTTAGGACTGACTCAAGCCTGTCCCAGACAAAGCTCCATATGCATATCTTTGTTCTAGAAGGGCATGCATGTGATTGGTTAATTTGTATTGAGATCGATTTGACCAAAATACAATACTGATTATTATTATTATATGCATGGACTTGACTCAAGGACTGAGTCCTAATCGAAGTCCCTATTTACAGAATCAGGACCGAAAAGATCAGACTTTTAACAGCCCTACCTCTGTCTAGGGCCCAATGTTTCTGATTCCTCTAAAAATAGTTTTGAAATAATATTTATGCAATCTTGATATAGATTAAACATATTAGCTAATTCACAATAAGTGTATAAGCTAAATACAATGCTCTAAAAATTTTTAATAGTGAGACAGTTTATTTAACAATATGATTGTCTAACAAACAAACGATTAGAAAATTAATTATATTTTTAAGGCTGAAGATTTAGTTTTGACTTTTACTCATAATAATAACGATGTTAAATAATATATATTAGTAGACCCAGGCTAATGAATTAGAAGATAATCTAATAAGTTTTAAAGAGCATCTTCTTGCAAAATAGTACAAAATAAATCTTCAATAGGTTTAGAACATTCTCAAGCACCTACGTACATATCTCAATAGACTCAATAATGAATCTGATTGGTCTGTTTGATCAAATTAGTTAATCAGATCTTTTATTGAATTCATTGAGATAGGTGCTTGA